AGAAACAGAGAGAGGAAAAAAAAAAAAAAAAGTAAGAAATCACCACCAACACCCCACAAGGGGAGATGGTCTTGCTGCAATCCTTTCTCTATGCTTTTCTGGGAATTTGGGGCACAGATGCACACTCCCACACACCCAGCACTTTTTTTTTTTTTTTTTTTGGAGAGATTTTCGCTATAGGGTGCGTGTACTCACCAGACAGACAGAGACATAGAGACAGAAAGTGAGAAATCACCCCCCAGAGGGGATAGCCACGCCGCAATCCCTTCTCCTCCATTCTCCTCTCAGGATCTTAGGCATGCACACGTGCCCTGCATGAGTTTTAAGCCACCGTGTCCACATCTCGAACCGCGGTCGACTACATGGGAGCCCAGTGACATAGCCATTATGCTAACTGCTCGTTCCACATCCAGCACGTTTCTGAAGTTGCCAGGTCAGAGATTCAAACCATAGGATTGACCATGTTAAATCCAGTGCCTTAGCCACCACACCAACTGCTGGCCCAGATCTGCATTCTTTTTGACAGAGATTTTTGCTATAGGACACCTGTGCTCACCAGAGAGACAGAGAGAGAAAGAAAGTGAGAAATCAGCCCCCAGGATAGATGGCCATGCTGCAATCCCTTCTCTTCTATTCTCCTGTCAGGATTTTAGGCACACACGCACACATGGCTGGCCACTGGGTCCAGGACTCAAACCAGTCAACCAACATGGGAGTCCAGTGCCTTAACCACTACAACTCCTGCTGGTCCCCTAAATCTGCATTCTAAAAAGCTAAGTCTGATTTCATGATGGGGTTAGTTATGAATGTCCAGGTGTAGATGGTAAAGGCCTGGTAAAATCTAGAGACAGGGCTGCTTTAAGTAGGTTTAGCCACCAGATAACCAGGCAAGAAGCAAGGCCCACGTTGGCCTTAAAATTGTAAAAAACTGGGACCAGCAGATGGCGTAATGGTTACTTTGCTGGATTCTCACATGGCCAACCACTGTTTCAGCGCCAGACCCAGAGGCATGAAACTCACACTGGATGTGTGTGTGTGTGTGTGTGTGTGTGTGTGCGCGCATGCACGTGCATGCCCACAGTCCCAAAAGAAGAATGAAGAAGGGATTGCAGTTTGGCCATCACCCTGGGGGGTGATTTCTCACTTTCTGTCTCTCTGTCACTCTGGCAAGCATTCACATCCTATAGAAAAAAAATTTCTCTTAAAAAAATAAATTGTAAAGAACAGGGACCAGCAATTGGTATAATGGTTATGTCACTGAACCTCCACATAGTCAACCACAGTTTGAGTCCTGGACCTGGTGACTTAAAAATGCCGAGTGTGTGTGTGTTTGTGTATGTGTGCCCAAGATCTGGAGAGAAGAATGAAGGAGAAGGGATTGCAGTGTGGCCATCTCCCCTAGGGGGTGATTTTGTGCTTTCTATCTCTTCGTATCTCTGTCTCTCTGGGAAGTGCACATGCCCTATAGCAAAAATCTCTCTAAAAAAAAAAGTGTAAAGAACACATTATGAAGGTGAAGAGAACCTGGGGGAGATATTCTCCCTCCATGCCGCAGTGAGATATCACATATGGAGGCTACACAGTGGGACGGAGGTCAAATGCAGCACTCCTCAAGGCCATCCCACATGAGAAAGTTCCAGTTCAAGTTTGAAGACCTCCTGAGTATGCCAAGCACACACTTGCCCCATGAACTGGGATGGAGCATGAACCAACATGAAGGTGACTGAAGTTGGGGGTGGATCAACATCCTATTGGGGGTGCTGTCTCTCTCTCCCATGAAGTAAGTAAATTTTTAAAAATAGTTCTGCTATGCTTGTTTGAAGACTACTGCAGCACCAGAGCACCCTTGAGGATGTTTCCTGTTCATATAAAATTCCATGATGTCAGGCCAGCCCTATTAGTATGGTGGTTAAGGGAGCCGGGTCCTATATGGCTGACTATGGTTTGAGTTCTGGTCCCCACAGCTTGAAAAACACACAAGGTGTGTGTGCATGTGTGGTCAAAAATCATAGTTAGATGGAGAAACTGAGGGGGGAAAATGGTAGCATGACCTGGGTGCTTGTTCGCTCACTCGCTCGCTCGCGCTCTCTCTGTGGTGAGTACACACACCCTCTGGCAATTACAAAAAGGCAACTTTTTAAAAATTATATGATGTGGAAATGTCATGTCCATGAATATTAAAGGAGAAGGAAGCATTCAAATGCCTAAATAATTTTTCCATTCAAGCTTTCATTTTTTAAAAGCAAAACACTTTCCTTACTTCATTCCTGATTGCAGAAACAAGCCATGATGTTAGCTTTCCTGCTTCTAACTGTCATGTTGATTCTCTCGCCGTCCAGAGAGCTTTAACATCTTTTTGGTAGTGGTTACAGCCTCAGAATAAGTTTCCCTCAAGACCATTTTAGAACCTAAAACTAGCTGCTATAGCGCTAGAGTTCCCTTTCATTTGAGTAAGAAAGGTAAGTTTGATAAATCATTTTAAATTGTCCATTTACAACTAACTAGAACTTAAATCTCTATTTTAAGGTCTTTGCAGCTTGCAGAGCCAGCAGATGGCATAACGGTTACCTTACTGGACTCCCATGTAGTTGACTGAGGTTTGAGTCTGGGCTCCAATGGCTTAAACTCACGCGGGGCACATGTGCGTGTGTGCCCAAAATCCCAAGAGGAGAATGGAGGAGAAGGGATTGCAGCATAGCCATCCCCCTGGGGGGTGATTTCTCGCTTTCTGTCTCTCTGTCTCTCAGGCTAGTGCACGTGCCCTGTAGAAAAACAAAACAAAACAAAACAAAAACTCTCTAAAAAAAGTCTTTACAGCCTTCCTTTTAAATATACATATAATAAAGTATATTGATCTAAACACTGACTTTTGAATATATTAACTCTAATTATCCACCACAGCAACAGCATACTCAATTCAAAAGGACAATAATCATCCCAGAAGAAGGAGGACAAGGAGGAGCAAAAAATTAGAAAGAAGAGGAAAAGAATGCTTGTTTCATGTAGCTTTACCTAATTTGGCTTATTCTTCATATGTATGGAAATTTGCCTAGAGAGAGCCAGCCAGGTGGCATGGAGGTTAAGGCAACTGGATCCACATGATGAACTGCACAGTTTGAGTCCAGCTTGAAAAACATGCTGGATTCATGTGCATTCGTGCCCAGAATCCCTAGAGGAGGTTGGAGGAGAAGGAATTTTGGCATGGCCAACTCCCCTGGGGAGTGATTTCTCACTTTCTTTCTCTCCCTGTCTCTGTCTCTCTCTTGCAAGCACACATGCCCTATAACAAGCAAACAAATTAAAGCTGTCTATGGAGGAAGCATGCAATGAGAGTCCATCAGGATACATCTTACTACCTGCCTCTCATGTTCTGTCAAAATTGGTCCTGCGTATGTGACTTTCATAAAAAATGGAAATGGTGGGGAACCAGCAGTTAGCGTAATGGCTATGTCGCTGGACTCCCACGTAGTCGACCGCGGTTCACGTCCCAGACTCGGTGGCTTAGAACTCACGCCAGGCACGTGTGCGTGCGTGCCCAAGATCCCGAGAGGAGAATGGAAGAGAAGGGATTGCAGCGTGACCATCCCCCCTGGGGGGTGGTTTCTCGCTTTCTGTCTCTCTGTCTCTGGTGAGCGCACGCGCCCTACAGCAAAAACCTCTCCAAAAAAACCTGAAAATGGTTTTTACAGCTAACTCCCTCCTATTTGCCTGGTACCCACTACTACAGAATCTGTTCCACACACCGATTACGTTCATTCTCATTTAAGGAGAACCCGAAACCCACGAAGTGTCAGCTCCTTCAAGAACAGAATCAATTTCACCAGCTGATTTTCCACAGACTATAACTGGCTTTCCTCTGTCACCAGCTCCAGTGTTTATTACATTAAGACAGACAGGAGGACAGCAGGTGGCACGTTTGCTGGATCCCACATGGCAGACGGGAGTGCTTCAAACCTGGCAGTTTGAGAAACACTGAGTGTGTGCGTGTGCATATCCAAAATGCTAGGTGCGGGGAAGAAAAAGAAGTAGTACAGGTACTTGACTATTCTTTTAAAATGTCAAATACCAGGGAGGCCCCTCACTAGCCAAGGTGCTGCTGGGTCTGGGGTCCCTGGCACAGCCTTCCCTTGCTTCTGTTGCTCTTTGTCCCCCACCCTATGGATTATCACGGTCTAGTGCATGGTGGCAAAGGACTTCATGACTCACATTAAAAGAACAGACCATTGGGGCCAGTAGATGGCATAGTGGTTAAGGCACTGGACTCCCACATGGCCGATCACAATCCAAGTACTGGATCTAGTGGCTTGAAACTCACACTGGGCCTATGTGCATGTGTACCCAAAATCCCAGGAGGAAGAAGAAGGCCATCACCCCCTCACCACCACCACCAGAGGGTTGATTTCTCACTTTTCCTCTCACTGTCTCTGTCTCTCTGACAAGCATATGGACCTTATGTGAAAAATCTTTAAAAAAAAAATAAAAGAGCAGAACATTTTGTTCAGACTCCTCCCAAGACCCTGGAGGGGGTTACTAAACTGTTAAAGCTTACCTAAAATCACCTCTAATGCCTGGCTTGGCTGATTGTAGCCGGATGGCAACACGCAAAGGCCAAAGGCAGTAGTTGGGCCTTGCCAAGTGAAACTACAGGGGGCCCATCCACACTCAGATGAGGTCCAACACCCCACAAGGGGTCCTATGAGGACCAAGGGAATCTGCCAATGGAGGTCATCACTCAGAGCCGGGCCACTAGAACCACCAGGAGCTTGTCAGGTCAACATCCAAAGAGAGAGGGAAATTTTTGCTGCCTTGAAAACCAAGTCATTCTAAAGATTTTACTTAAACAGGAAAAGTGGGAGCCGGGGATGGAGGGCGAGCAGAGGTATTACCATTTGGATTATGGTTTGTCTCCATAGTTTCATGTTTTGGAATCTGACAGTGGAGTGTGGTGAGCCCCAGAGGGCGGTGATTGGTTCATTTGGTTGCATCATAGAGGCCACACACTCGGTGGAGATTAATGATGTCTCCCCAAGGGAGTTCGAGGTCTCGTGAGAAGAAGGTAGTCTCGTGAGAACTGTTTCCTATGAAAGAGCTCATCCAAGAGACTCAGGTTCTCGCCATACTGCTGGGTGGCTTCTGTGCCTTGATCGGTTGTGCTGTGCTTGAGCTTTCCAGTCACCAGAATGGTGAGTTTATAAATAATCTCCATCTCTATAAAATTACTCCGGCTCAGACATTTCTGTTGGCAACACAATAAAAAATTAAGATGGTAGTAGGATAATTATGCTACTGTCAGACCTATCCCAGTGAGAGGCTACTCCCTGCTAACACTGGGTCCCTTACTCTCCCCCCACTCTGCCTTTTCTTCTGATGGATCAGAGACAGAAACTAAGCCCTCAGACCTCAGGCAGCTAACAGCCTGAAACAAAAAATGCAGAAAACAAAAGAAGGGGGAAAAAAAAGATTGCCACTTTAGATGGCTACAAATCCAAACAGGGATGGGGGAAGGAAGGACCTTTAAACTTCAAGTACTGATCAAAAGCTAGATCTAACTAATCTAATGCTAGCCCTAGATTACTTCTTTAAAAAACACTCCTGGGGGCCAGCAGGTGGCATGGTGGTTAAGGAGCTGGACTCCCACTCACCAACTACAGTCCGAGCCCCAGCTGGTGGCTTGAAAATCATGCTGGGCACGTGTATATGTATGCCCAAAATCCTGAGAGGAGAAGGGACTGTGATGTGAACATCCCTGCTGGGAGGTGATTTCTCATTTTCCCTGTCTGTCTTTAGGAAGCACACTTGCCCTATGGCAAAAACCTAAACAAGCAGAAGTGGGCCTGCCTGTGGAATGGTGGTTAAGGCATCTGCAGCTGGTGTGGCTGGTCAGATGCTTTGAGTCTCCTCTTTGAAGAACAAGCTGGATGCCTATGCAGGCATGGCCAAAATCCCCAGAGAGGGAGAAATGGAGGAGAAGGGATTGTGGCTGATAGATAGCACCCGATAGAGGGTGCTTTCTCACTTTCTCTGTGTCTCTCCAGCAAGTGCACACAGCCTCTGGCAAACAAAACAAACAAAAACTCCTAAACACCGGGAGGAAAAAATGAAAGTTAACTAAATAAACTATAGATACACTATTTTAATATAAACATGATAAGATACATTGTATATATGTATGTATGTGTGTATAACATATACCTCAATTAAAACACAGTTTTATCTAGTCTTAAGTAGATACGCAAATTTTATATCCTAGGGCCGGCAGGTAGTGTGGTGATTAAGTGTGCTGGAATCCCACGTGGTTGACTGTGATTCAAGTCCCAGACCTGGAGGCTTGCTTTCTTGCTTTCTCTCTCTTTCTCTCTCTCTCTCTCTCTTTCTGTGTGTGTCTCTCTCTCTGGAAATATTAAAATAATAATAATAAATAAAAATAATTCTTTAAAAAATTTTGCATCCTAAAAACTTCATGTAAGAAAAAGATTTTTGAAAAAAGACTTCATGGGTCAAAAGGCATACTTAAGGAGCTGGATCCCACTTGGCTGATTCCGAGGTTTGAGTTCTGGACTGAGCAGCTTGAAAAACGTGCCAGGAACATGTGTGTGCATGCCCAGAATCCCAAGGACATGGAGAAGAGATTGCGGTGTGGCCATCCCCATGGAAGGTGATTTCTCACATTCTCTCTCTTTGTGTCCCTCTCTGCCTCTCTCTGACCAGTGCATGCAACCCTGGCAAAAATCTGAAAGGGGAAAAAAGGTGCTGATTAGAACAAAGGTTCTAGGTTCTAACTTAAGTTCAGTACTTGATCAAATATAGCAATTGACAAAACTCCATGGACTTAATCAATACTGGGACCCAGATTACAGTGAGACCTGGGGATTTCACAAAGGGTAGACACTGTACCCCCTAAAATCTTGAGAAGGTAACTAATATAACACAGGAGAAAAAATGTGCCTCACTTTAACTGTAGCCTTGCCTCAATTTTCCAGACTCACTGTACCTATTGTTGTCTACACTGGGCATAGATGTTCTGATATAGTAAATAATACATTAAAATTAAAGTAAGTTTTTGGCATTTATTGGATTGATAAGCCATGAACTCTGAGTTAAAGTGGTTAATGTGGCCCAACATAAGTTAAAACTGGGTTTTCAGGGGTAATTTATTATACAAGGTGGGGGTCTTTAAAAAGGTTATGAAAGATGTGTGTTATAAAAAAAACTAGGCATTGATTTTAAGTTTTTGCACCACCAAATTCATACTTTAATTTTATTTTCCCACAAAGCTTTTCAAGTCCCTTTAAAATCCTAAAATCTGATTAATAAAATAATTCATTAATACTTAAAATCTGATTAATAAAAGAATAATTATCTTCATTGCTTTTCCGTTTGACAGCTCAGTCTCACTTGTTCTTTAAAATCTTGTAAAAACGTGTAGGGGGCGGAGCGTGGGGTCTCTTGATGGATTATTACAATGTCACTGCTATGGCTCCATCTACCAAGGCCCTGTGTCCAATATCCAATATTATTAGAATTACTGATTCGATTCAGATGACAGATGGTAAATATTTCCATCTCATAGACTGGTTCCATTCAGTGCCTATTTCAGCGGCCTCTTGGCTGCAGTTTGTTTCTACCTCCACAGGGACAGAACATACCTTCAGGTACCTGTGGGTATCTCAACTACTTTGCCATCACACACAGTCTTTGCAGACAAGGTCTTGGTGACATCCACCTTTCTCAAGGAGTGCAGGCAGGATTTACATTGATAACATCCTCTTTCAAGGTGACATTTATTAAGGACATCTAAGCCCAACATCTTTAAGTCCTTTGCTGGTTGTGATGGCGACAGACTGTATTTACAAATTATACTTACAGGGGGCAGCAGGTGGCATGGTGGTTAGAGTGCTGGATTGCTGGATTCCCACATGGCTGATGGTGGTACGAGACCTGAACCCAGTGGTTTGAAAACCACAACAAATAAATAAATGTTAAAAAAAATTATACTTGCAAATTGAAATCAACAGGCACTCCGACCAGTGCCTCCAAAGAACTCTTTCTTTCACTGTGGAGGCTTTGGCGACCTCTTCTGATGTCTCTTGTAGGCTCTGAACCACTTATGGTGGCCATGAGTTGTTCCAGGTCTTCTGATATTAAAAAAAAAAAAAAAAAAAAAAAAAAAAAAAAAAAAACTCCCCTTGGGGGACCAGCAGGTGGTGTGGTGGTTAAGGCGCTGGACACTCCCACATGGCCGACCACAGTTCGAGTCCTAGACCTGGTGGCTTGCTTTCTCACTTTCCTCTCTCTCTGTGTGTCTCTCTCTGGTCAAGTTAAAATGAAGGAATGAATGAATAAATAAATCTTTTTTTTTTTTTGAGAGGTTTTTGCTATAGGGCGCGTGCGCTCGCCAGACAGACAGACAGAGACATAGAGACAGAAAGCGAGAAATCACCCCCCAAGGGGGATGGTCACGCCGCAATCCCTTCTCCTCTCGGGATCTTGGGCATGCACGCACATGCGCCCGGCGTGAGATTTAAGCCACTGGGTCCGGGACGCGAACCATGGTCGACTACGTGGGAGTCCAGCAACATAGCCATTATGCTAACTGCTGGTTCCCTAAATAAATAAATCTAAAAAAAAAAAAAACTGCCCTTCTCAGCCTCACGCTACACACCATTAAGACAATAAATGACTAGCTACCTACTGGGCTGTCCTGGAAATAAAGGCTCTCATAGACCCTGAGCCTATAACTCTCCATATCTAGCTGCCCATTATGCTTTAGTTCATGGAAATGTGACTCAGAAGCTCAGCATGGCTACAAGACCTCTTTAAGACAGGTTACAGCCACACCTGTCCTCTGGTATATTCCACCCGAAGGAGGGAGTGTTTCCCTCTCTCTAGACCCTGGCCAGATGCTAGGGTTCTAGAGGTCACCCATCTCCCAGATGCTCTGACTACTTCCTGAGCCCCTTCGGAGTCACCGAGTGAATGGTAATAGTTCACAGACGATGTGAATGGCATTGCAAACCACCATAAAAGGCGAAATTTCGTGGAATGTTGCTGCTTGCCATCCCTTACCCAAGATTTCCCTATTAAAGAAGGGGAACTCTTTTACACTGCTGGTGGAAATGTAAGTTGGTCCAGCCACTGTGGAGAACAAAAATCTACAAATAGAACTACCATATGACCCAGCAATCCCACTCCTCGGTATCTACCCAAACGACAGAATTCTTATTGGAAAAGTGCTTGCACATCGATGTTTATTGCGGCACTATTCTCAATTGCTAAGACATGAAACCAACTCAAATGCCCCCATATAGATGAATGAACTGAAAAACTGTGGCACATATACTCTATGAAATACTATTCAGCCATAAAAAAAAACCCTGGCTTTTGACAGAAAGTGGAAGAATATGGAAGATTTACTGCTGAGTGAAGCAAGCCAGATTATGAAGGAGAGACACTGCACGTCCTCACTGAGTGTCTGCACAATATAACTGAAACTGATTGACCTAAGGGTGTACAAACACACAAGAGGTGGGGGTTAGTGCCAGAAGTGGAGTGTGTGGAGAAGAGGGACCTAAGGAAGGACATATGGAGGAGGGATACGGAGACAGAGCATTGATGGGATGGGGAAGTGTGGTGTTATTGGTGGAAGATATTCTAATCAACTGGACTGGGGAGAAATGTTCACATATTGAAATATTCACTTTGTAAGCTAAATAATATGATTGAATGTATATAAAAAATTAAAATTAAAAAAATAAGTGAATAAGAAAAAACGTGCCCCATTAACTGTTTTCTAAACCACTTTCAGGACTTTTGACACCCGGCCGAGGGTTAGGGTGTGTATCTGTGGATTGCCTTATCAGTGTCAAAGTAACCCCAGTAGCACTTATAGTCCTGATGTGTTGTATGTGCTTCCATACATGTAATATGTCATGTTACGTACTATATGTTGTATGTCTGTGTGTAAAAGACCTTAAAGAATTCTATTCAATTTGGTATATAAAAAGAGCACTCATAAAAATTGGTTTAAATTCTTTTCAAGTTCATATAACTTTACTAAACGATCTGGTTTCAAGTATAATGAAAGAAAAAGATTAATAAGTGAAAGTCCTCTTAATTTTCAACATATATTTTGTCTAGGTTTTATTAATCAAACAACATCATGTTTATCTTAATATGGTTGGTT